TAATGATGGATGTGGTGAGGAGGCATCTCAGCTGTAGAGCCAGGTGGATGATCAGGCACATTTCTCATGTATGCCTTGGCACCTTGTCAATTAGCCACAGCAAATTTCACAAGCCTTAGGCAAATACCAATAGAATTCTGGCCTGTTCAAATTGCCGTTTGTTGCAGACACCCATGATGGCTGCTATTGTTGCTTCTACAAACGTTTCTCCTCTTCTCGTGTATTTCCACCTGAAGACTGCAATGGCATCTGCTTCTCTTGGCCATGAAGATTGTACTGTCCCCTCACCCCCTACCTCCATCTTAACTGCTGCTCTGCCTTCAGAACAAAAAATCGTAAATTTCCTCATATTTGGCTTCCCAGGCCTAGCTGTTGCTGCTTATGGAGCCAAAACATATCTATCCCAAAGCGAAGGAGATAGTAGCAGATATCCAGGGTTTCCAGAAATCTTTTAGTTGCAGGGGGATAATGGCAGGGGCTGGACACCCCAGAGTGCATAGTGACTGCAGCCTGCTAATCTGTGGGGTGGAAAGAGAGAATGTGGGGGAGTGTTTTGGGGGAGGCCTGGCTGTCTGACTGAGCAGGGATCAGAAACCATTATTTCACACAATGACATTGTTATTGCAGGTGCCACTCCTACTACACGCCCATCCCAAATTGCATCTCCTTCTTGCACTCCTCTATTGCATCACATCTGCTTTCAAATTCTGATTTTGGTTGCTGATACTGGTCTTACTTTTTTCGGTTCAAATATCCCCACCATTCCTCTTTGGGCTTTCAAAGATTCATACCAATCTTATTCTCTGACTCAACTGCTTTCTGTCATCTCTGCATACTGTATTTAGTTAGGCTATGTATGATCATCTGTACTGTGCAGGATGCTATTTCCAGAGTTCATTGGCAATGCTGGCTTGGAAAATCATATCTCAATATGCTTAAGAGATTTTGACAGAATGCCTGCATGCTGCCTGCCTTAATTCAAAAATGTTGGGGTTTACGTCCTAAATGGCCTTGCTGCCTTAATTCAAAAATGTTGGGGTTTACTGTTAAACGTCCTAAATGGCCTTAGACACAAGGACTTGAAGGAATGCTTGTGCTATTCCCCTGTCTCCATCTCTGCCAGAATGGAGGCTCACATTTACATAGATGGGCAAGCAAAGGCAGTTCTCCAGATGTTCCTGGATGGGGACTCCCAGTATTCCTCACCATGGGCTGTGTTTGCCTGAAGCTGATGGGAGTTGTAGTGTAACATCTGGAAAGCCGCAACTTTGCCCACACTGGATAGACAAGGAAGGGAGCATTTTAAATAGTAGCACCCCAGTTAAGGAATATTCTCTCAAAGGTCAGCATGCTGTTTCTCAGGGACCAGACAAAAACAGTTTCACACACACACCCTGGAGTTTTAAAACATGTTTAACTGTATAAAATTTTTTAAGCATTTTATTAATTGTACTTTTGTCTGTTCCTTGTTTTCATATTTTCCCCTGTTGTTTCATTGACTTAATTTTTTCTAAACTGCCTTGAAGTAATAATTAAAACAGCAAAATACACAATTAAACAAATGAATTTTTTCTAAACTGCCTTGAAGTAATAACTAAGACAGCAAAATACACAATTAAACAAACAAACAAATAAATAAAGAAATAAATATAATATGTAGTGAGAATCAATGTGTCACTGTTTTTCACAGGGTTTACTGTCGCCTTCATTAGTTATTTATCAGTAAGACAAGTGAATTTTTTTTTAAAGCATTTGATAATTTTGAATGCAAATCAGAGGTGCAGCAGGGGACTTTCTAGGCTTCCCTTAACAATCAATAGCAGAAAATATCTGATAGTATTTTCCCCTTGCAGCTTTGAAAGACTCACACATTTTCCAGATTGGACAATCCAAAGAAGAAAAAGTGATGCCATGGCAGCTGTTCCAACACCACCACCGCCTGTAGGTAAGCATGCTCAGAAGAAAGGGGGACAGAGATTATTATATACAAGAGAGACCATCAATGGTGGTGCAGATTTGGCTCATATCCAGGAGGACGGATGGAAAGAAGTGGATGCAGGGGAGAAAAAACCCTACAACCAAGACATCTTTTCTGAGTACAGTTCTTGGCCCTCCTGAGAAGATCTACTGCTGAACAACATACTTTTTTTACTTTTCATTTGCCCAGCAGTTCACAAGTTTGTGAACTATGTGCTACATGGCATCCAGAAATGTTGTAGAAGAGGTTAAGAGTGCAGTTCAATTTGTTTATGGCACTCGCCATGTTGAACACCGTGGACAAGCCCCACGTTAACATGTCCAAGCTAGTGCTGGTAGGGCACAAGCTATTCTTACTGTTGCTGCAGCTCCTCCTGCCTCTGTTGGGTCTCCCGGTTGGATAAGAAGCAGACGTGTGACTTATGCATACAACAGAATGAGTTGGTTGAAAATTGGAGTGGTAAAGTAAACCTTAGCGCTTCACATTGCAGTTAGGAGATTCTATAATCTGAAGAGGGAAGGTACTCCTCCATTTTGACTGTTCTTGGTATATAAAACCATACTCACATTGGGGAGAAAATTTCTAACCTTGCCTTGTTGACAGGGACTTGTTGCGATTCAGCTTAGATGAAGGTGCATCTCCTTGTATGGACAGGAGATGGAGAGAGAATGATTTCCTCAAATTTCCTACACAGTCCTTTACTTGGTCAGACCTGCACTGACTTTGCTTCAGCCTAGACCAGTACTCTTAGACCTCCAGACCTACTTGCAGATCTGGGTGTGATTACACAGGCATATAGATTATATTTTTGACTGCTTGTGGAGTGGTTTGATGGAGTCTATTCCCTGGAGATCACATGATATACTGGAAACTATTCTTCGGGCCAATCGCAATCCATGCTTAAGATGGACCATTTAGGTCAAGCTGTAGGCCTCCCATTTTTGAGGGCTGGGCTGAAATGGTTTCCTGCCAAATGGTCCGTTTTAAGGAAAATCACTTCTTGCAAAGTGACCCTTTCAGGTGTGATCAGACATCTGATTGCACCTTTATCTAACACCCCTTGGGCAGCAGCTACTTTTCTGGTGTACCAGAAGACATCCAAGTTCTCCTGACTATCTGAGCCTGCACCCTACCCCCACACCCAAGTAGCTAGGTCTACAACCCACCATTCTAAAATTCTTCATGCTTCTGGGCATTGTGGGAAATTTTAAATGGTGGCTTGCAGCTCATCTCTTGTGTCCTCACCAAACTAGCTTGGGAAAGTGGTGGAACTGAGAGAAGGGCCTCCCCAGAAGATCTTATAAGCCAAAGAGTCACATATCGGGAGAACAATCCTTCAAACAGTTATCCCTTCAGACACAAGAAATGTGCCTTTCCTAATGTTATAACATTGTTATGACATAACATTCTCATCTCCTCCCTCCCCTTTCCCTCAGTTACTGCCTGAATTGTCATGATATCACAGAATGTTCACAGTCATTCTAATACTTCAGGAGAAACTCAGTAGGATGTTGGCAAGAAATGCAGCTTCTTTGAGAAAAGATAAGTGTAGGTAGAGAGAAACAAACCTGATGAAAGTGCTGAGGACTACGTTGTTGATCAGAAGCAGGGACAGTGATATTAGTGGTGGGTTATCTGAAAAGTTAATTGTGAAAAGACCTTCAGAAGAGAGAGGAACAGAAGGGATTGGGGAGAGGGGCAAAAAGGCAAGGTGGAGCGGAAGCAGAATTTTGGAATGATTTCAATTAACCAAACCAACCCATTGATTCCTAGGATTTATTTCATAGTTGTTATCTGCCCTGA